TGCGGTAGTTGCCCTCTAACCACTAACCAACCTGGTATGGGAGTCTCTGCGTGTCGCGGGGATCATTCAGTGTAGCTCAATGGGTCAGGGAGACATAAACCGTCACACCATGATAGGGTACATTCTCTTTGTGGCAGCATTCCAGCAATGTGTTTTTGGTATTTACTGTCAGCTGACCTACCAATATCATGTGAGAGTTTGGTTATACCGGTAGTTAATAGCTAAGGCATCCGATTTTGCGATGTGGAAGTGAATGCTGATTTGATGGACATTATGCTAAATTGCTTCACTGCATTCCTCCCGTGGAATTCTTTCTGGTTCCTGTCATACTTGACAATGTCCCCTCCTAGATGTTGGTAGGTATCCAATAGCGTTCCAGTCGTTAGTTGCGTAAAACACGGCTTCTTTCGTTACTCTAACCGGAATGTTGGTTGACTAGAGAGGTGGAAACTTCGTGGTGAGCAATTTTCGAAGTTCGCTTGCCGAAGGGCTTTGCACTTTCTTTCTTATCAGGCCATCGCACGTTGGCAGTGGACGAGCGTGGAGGTAGAGGTACTTGTTGAATATAACGCGGTGATAAACAACAAGACATCCTTATGTCACTAGATGCAACGAGTGATCCGTTATCTGGCTCACGGTGGTGATCTAGTCTGCTTGATAATGTCGTCGTTCAACAAAATGATCGTGCGATCGAGTGCTTCGTCGATGACAGAGTGGAACGTTTGCCTTGTTGAAGTTGACTTGAGGTTAAGAGGGGAATAATTCAGCCTCCAGCTGGGTAGCGGCGACAGTGTGCACGGAGAAGGATGGTATTACCTGACCGAACGGCTTAACCATTTTTTACCGGTTTTAGAAGGCTGCTGGTTTACGGGTACGGCCGTACTGATTGTTTCAGGTCCTGGTATTCTGCATTCTGCCACCGTGCTGTGACACAACAATGACATTCTTCGTGACTAGGAAATTGTTCATTTGCCGTCATGATTCCGTTTCAAGACATTAACTTCTTATGTTTCTGTAGCTCCCAGAACTGCAGGTGTCGATAGGCGCTTCTCGTAAAACTACACTGGTAGGTGGTTTATTGACGGGTGACAACCAGGTGATGCGAAATTAATGTAAACAATCGTTCAGCTGTAGCACCCTCTCGGTGCCTAACTGCCATGCCACCCAAAGGTTGCACGAGGGCTGGGATACTCCCAAGTTGCCCAAGCCTAGACAGGGGAAGTCGAGAGGCAGAGGTCGCGTTCGAACCGCGGACCTTCCGATCAGTAAATTAGCGCTCTAACCACTTGAGCCATCTCGCCTCGTCTCAAGTAAACGTGTCTTTTGGTATGCCATATTGGGCGGAGCCAGGGATAGACATAGAAGTTCCCTCACTGTCTGAAAGACTCAGCAGCACTGTAGTGTTTTTAGTGGATATTTGCCGGTTAGGCGTTTGTTATGCGAGACGGGTGCTACATCAATTTACCGCAGGCATTGTTTGAATTGGATCATTGGATCTGCTGTTTGCCTGAACCGTGACGACGTTTGTAGTTTTCTCTCATGCTAGAGGCCATTTCCGACCAGTAATCCGTACAATCTTTTCTGGCTCTATGGATATCGGAAATCGGAAGTGTTTGCCATAGATGCTTGGATGATCTTTTCAGGGTGCTGTGAGACGCGCCCGACGTTCGCCGCAGCAGCCTGTGTTATTGCTGTCTTCACATTAGGTCACAACTTTCCAACGGGCATGAATTGATCCTTCGAAGACAACGGTAGTCTGGTAAACAGTTCTGCTCGTACATTGGATCCAGCTGCTACAATTCCGATCACCGGAAAGTGGGGGAGCGTGGGCGATACATCCAAGCATTGGCCGCGATAGCGTGCTCAGTTAACTACGCACTGAAGGTCATAGCTTTCATGCATGATGATCGCTGACTGCGCGATTGGACAGTGTCATTAACCGTTGGCTACTCTGCAGGGTTTGATCCCACTTAGCCTTGTAGCAGCACTTTACAGTTTGCATGTGTGAGGCGGATACCGAACCATGCGACAGAATTACTTAAGATAGTTTTTATTTCCGAAGGATCTGAACAGATGTTTCCCTCTTGTAGTTCGATCCATTTTGGAATCTGTGTTATGTACTTAGTAGTATGTGGGGCATGGGACCTGCGCGAACAAATGCATGCGCGTTATGACCTGATTTCTGTTCTGCATTAGGACCATCAGACTGCTTTAGGATGCAGTTAATTAGGGGTCTCGAACATTGGCAACGTGTGTTCGATGTACTGGAGATCGATTAGAGCCCATGGACCTACTTAACTGGTTGCTAGCTCAGTCAAAATGAGAATGATTGCTTCGTTTGAAACTTCAGTTCCCACGTTCCATCCACGCACATCCTCTGTGCGTGCGGTCGAGCTACTCCGGTAGATAATCTCAGGAATGACTCTTGACGGGAGCCCTTATGAACAAGCGTGTGTTTGCTCAAGAACGTACATGTAGAATACAATTCAGATCCCACTTGAGTGTTAACGTGAACATGAAGCCATATTCAACAGTTTTCGTGTGCCGTCATACGAGACTATTGCCATAGGATCCACGACACTGAATGTTTTGTTGATAACTGAACTATTTTTCCACTGTCGCATAGTTGATCCGAATGGTAATGATGAAGATGAAGAATCATGATGTTGTTGTGTCTGTCTTGGAGCCTTTCTTTGACTGCGGCGCTGGATACAATAGGGCAAACTTCGTTCCATTTTTCTTCAATATCCACGGAATGCGCCTGGTGTTTTTGACACAAACTCAACGAACGAATCAATATGCGCTTAAATTTTTTTTCGGGTGGAAGGAGGGGAGAGAGAAAGAGATGGGTTATCCTGAAATTCGTGAACCATTTTTCAGCGATATGAGGAAAAGACGATGATCGATTGATTAGTAGTCAGGTTCACTCGTTTTTGGAGCTTAACTGCTTCACTCTGTGCTGTCTGTTCTGTTTCTACGTGTTGCATTTTCCATCTTTCCGTCACAATCTAGTCTGCTAATCGGACACTTTCGGTACTGTCATAATTCGGTGTCAGCGATCCGATGTTGTTTTTGTAGGTGATGCAATCTAATTGGGCTGACATGCCCCATCTACTGGACTACCTAGAAATATTTGCTGTAGTTTCATCCGTGCTATTGGCTGACAGCCATTTGTTCGCCTCTGATAGTAATAGTAATAGTAATTTACACTCTTGTCTGATTGACGTTGTTTTTGCTTCTCCGGGTACCGTGCTATGGTATATTTTTCGTGTAAACTACGACTATGTTGTGTACTGCAGACGATATTGCAACTCCCATGTTGGTCCTCGGCTTGCCGTCCCTCCCATCATGGTGTAACGGTGATACTGCTGATTAGGGAGGCACGCGAGTAGTATGTGTTGTTCGTAGAATTTCGCTTTGCGTCGACTGAAAAAGGGAATTCTGTTGCGGAATTCGTGGGGCCACTTTGTAACATTTGCTTGGATTTGACCGACGAATGAGTGGAGGCAATGAATCTCTAGGAAGACTCGTTCGGGAGAAGATCTGTGTCCAGTTTTTGTAACTAAGATGCAGATTAGAGTTTTGCTTCCCTGTTCAATGGTCTGTAACCGGTCAGTTGGCATTTCCGAATAAATAACTCCGCAGCGAAGGCCTTCTTCCTTTCAATGGTATACCAAAAGGCATGGTAGCCTCAGCTAGCTTTTTGCGGAGACGAACGAAAATCATTACAACTGTCTATAGAGTTGTCACGAGGTGTTCCTTAGAATCTTCGTGAGCGGTTGAAGTATGGATGCTCAACCCTGTTTGGCTGACACTGACCAATCAGGACATGCCTTCATTTGCTCCGTAACCCGCATGTGACACATCTGTCCAATCGACGTGATGTTCGGTTACTTAGAGCAGCTGGTCACCGGACAGGCTAACTCGAGCTCACCTATTTAAACGTTGCTCGTTCTATTTCTTTTCTTTGATGATGACCTCAAGGTAAGTTCAGTGGTTGAGGCTCGAACTTATTGACCGGAAAGTCTGTGGTTCGAACTCACCCCCAAAACGAGCTGCAGCTGAACGATTATATTTTATTTATTTTCTTAAAAGTCGAGAAACCACCTGCCCATTTCCTTCACTCTAACTTGGAGTTTTTATTCCATGAGTTTCTGATATGACGATATCCAATTTCAGAGGTCACAATCTGTCACAGTCACAAATCGAGGTGGTAGGTAGTACCCCTAGAGACATCTGATTGCTGATGGTGCATACATTTTATGCAGCCCATAAGTCCATGAGAGAGCAAGTGAGAATCATTTTTACTCTGTTTTAGACAATACTCTTAGTTGATCAACCCATGAACTGACTTTCCGATGGTACTACGGTTGAATAAGTCTGCTTTTGTCTTTTGAAATGTCCAACTAGGCTTCCGGTTATCTCTCGACTTGTCTCCGAATTTCCTGACTAAAAACTCTAAACGTGTGTGTGTGTGTGTATGATAGAGTTATCTTCTTGGCATCAGCAAGTTTGTAGTTATTGTCTCGTTTCGCGGGAATCGACCATGGTCCTGGCAAACCAAAAACTAATTTGTATTCTCTAGGTAACCTGATCGCGATTAGCATTAGCCCTTTCACACACACACACACACACACACACACACACACACAGATGGGTACAAAAACATCTAGTGAACCAGTGTGCATAGTGTCACGAGACCAGGGGTCTTTGATTCACACATCTCAGATTAGGTTGGCACGCACTCTTTTCATGTTTTTTTTCCATAATGCGCAGTGTTCTTCGACGACTCGGATACCGTCTAATTTGTAGTCACCCATCTACCAGTGTGCACCCTATCATATACGGTACATCGATTGTTTCGAGCGCACAGCAGTCAATGTTAGAAGCAGCTGGTAAAGAGGGTATCCTTGTCTTGCGGGGTTTCTGCCCGCTTCTAGAATACTCATGGGTTTTCCGTGGAAGCGACTACAGGCACGTTGTTTTACTCTCTTTTCCAGATGAATATCGAAACCATCAACCCTAGTCTAACTAATGTTAGCTCTCCAAAACCCCGATTTACCCGAACTACTCCGACTCACTTGCGTCAAACCAGTAATACACAACCGAATCTTCTATCGGAAACTGTCCTGGCACAGGAACAACAGCGGCCCACACTGTCCGCATCTCGAACAGACAGTTACGATAGTGCCAGTCTCACTCGGACTACGAACAATATGCGCGCGTGTTCCCTGGAAAGCTTTCCCGCAATCCCATGTCTGACCACAACGATGAAAAAGTCAATGGTGGTGCGCGCATTGTTTGATTATGATCCCTATACGGATACTGGGTTGCCTGGTCGGGTAAGTCATCATCCAATAAGTGTCAAACCGGACACTTGAGTTGTTATTCCAAAGTTATTCTTTTGCTCCATATGATGAAGTTAAAATGTGTCAAAGTTGGACTGTTTTGGGAGGATTCTCTGTTCAACAGCAATGATGCGGTCAGTACTGGTTGGGTGTTGAAAAGTCGTTCAGCTGTAACACCCTTTGGGTGTCTAGCTGTCATGCACCCGGGAGAAAGCACGATGGCTGAGCTACCGGCAGTTTGCTCAAGCCTAGACCAGAGCAGTCGGGATTGGGTTCGAACCACGGAACTTCCAGTCAGTGAGTTCGCGGCCTAACCACTGAACCATGTCGAGCTCAGATAAGGAAAAGAGAAATCGTTTGAGTTAGGAAAGGCTTCATTGTGGCTCAAGTGGTTAGAGCGCGAATTTACCGAACGGAAAGTCCGTGGTTCGAACGCGACCTCTGCCTCTCGACTTCCCCTGTCTAGGCTTGGGCAACCTGGCAGTATTCCAACCCTCGTGCAACCTTCGGGTGGCATGGCAGCTAGGCACCGAAAGGGTGCTAAAGCTGAACGGTTTTCGTTGTAATTCATGCGTGGAACAGTGTCTTGCTTCCAAATGATTGATTGATTGATTAATGCTCATGGTGTTGTATATCGAGGATGGGGTTGCTTTGGATAAAGGGGCCAACGGGTTCTCCTAACACTTGTTTGGCTGGTTTTCCAGTATCATCTTTCCAGTTAGGCGTTGCGAGTTCGTATGATTATGCCTTTATGCACAAAACTGCTTGGTTTTTGTCACATTGGCCATGAACTTGTCACAATGCTCCTGGTACTTTCTTCAGCCTATCTGGTTAACGAACCCCGCCGTTTGTTCGTTTCGTTGCCACGTATCATGGTTATTCTGCGAGACGGACGAAGTTTGACTTGACAGAAAGGTGTGAAAGTTATGACGGTGTTTTTGGTGTTGTCCGCCTTAGAGGATGGGGTCCGCGTGACCCCTGAGTTTGACTGAAGGCGTTACGAGTAATGGTGGCTGATCCATATGAGTGGCGTTCCTGGTGTCAGTTTCTTTCCAGTTTGTCTGGTTGAGCACTTGGAGGTGTAGGTACCTCAGAATGCTTGTGATAGGCCAGTACCAGGTCCCCTCCCTCCCTCGCTCACATTTTTTCGATCCTTTTCACTTTAAGACTTGAAATAAACCTTGTGTCTGTATGATAGTGAAAAATCTTCGTCGACAGTGACGTTTCTGGGAGACCAAGAGAATACACTGCACGATGAGGTCTGGAATAAAGGATAGTAAATTTAAACCCTCGTTTATCCTTATTGAAGTCTAACAGCTGTGAGCAGATTCCGCAGCATATCTTCCGTGGTGTCAGTTTCCAGTTTGTCTGGTTGAGCACTTGGAGGTGTAGGTACCTCAGAATGCTTGTGATAGGCCAGTACCAGGTCCCCTCCCTCCCTCGCTCACATTTTTTCGATCCTTTTCACTTTAAGACTTGAAATAAACCTTGTGTCTGTATGATAGTGAAAAATCTTCGTCGACAGTGACGTTTCTGGGAGACCAAGAGAATACACTGCACGATGAGGTCTGGAATAAAGGATAGTAAATTTAAACCCTCGTTTATCCTTATTGAAGTCTAACAGCTGTGAGCAGATTCCGCAGCATATCTTCCGTGATTTTCTCCCCCTTTTCGGAAGATGTGCTCCCCGTAATTCCTCCTCGTCTTTCGAAGCACCTCCGTTATTCAATGCCTCACAGCTCACCTGCGACAGACAGGCTCTCCTGGGCGTCAGTATCAGTTCGAACCTTTGCGTTTTTCACAACACCGCCACTCGACATTCTATGCACCATATATCTTTCAGTCGTCATGCAGAAAAATGAACAATACGCCCCACTGTTGACGTCTTCATGTTTACCTGTTCCATTGTGCTTTTGACGTATGTGAGAATCCTTTTTCTGCGACATGAGAAATGTAGCCAGTTGGTGCAAATCAGCTTGCTTCTAGGCCACTTCTTTCATGTCAAAGTGGTTCGCTGAGGCACAGTGATCTGACGTCATACTGCTTCAGCTTGATTGTTTCCTGCAAAGTGCACAATTGCTCGCCATAGGAGCTAATCTCGTGAGTACCATGTCACGAGAACGAACCTATCCTCACGGCGTTGCACGAAGTTCGCAAGGAGGTAAAGCTGTCTGTGTAGGCAGAAAGCTGAAGCTGTCGAATCCGTACAGGCAGCCTGTTGTTTCTGCTACCTCATACCCAACACCACATGCCTATGATGTGAGGGCTTGTCGACATGACCAGCAGAATAGGACGGTGCCATTTTGGGGGGATCAGATATGGACGGAACATACTGGACTCATGATTTCGGGTTTGGGCTAACATTCATACCGCTTGGAATAGATAATCTAGACACATGCGCCGTTCAGATGAACCAGGTATGTGGAATTTCTACTCGCATACTAGCTTTGGTCGAAGAGATAACGATGTAATCTCTCTGTGTTCTTCTGATGTTTCCTCATTTGGAGGAGATACACTGCACCATACGAGTTAGACTGGTGCAAGTTTGATGCACATGACTGGAGCGGTACACTTTGGATCAGGTATAGCTACTATTGGGTGTCAGAGCACCACATACATGATGTATGCTCAGCTGTTCTGGTTAATATTTTGTATCCGATTCCGTTACCAAGGTATCTAAGCCTATCTGCTTGAAAATGCGTGTATTTCACCAACTGCGCACAATTTGGTGTTCAACTAGACATAAGTTTGGCGGAGATTCACGACTAAGCCCCAAGAAGAGCGAAATCTTTCGTGGCCTATGGAAACGTTTTCAGTAACCTATGAGTAGTGTGTTCCTCCGAGAAAATAGACTCAACATATTTCACCCTCGCACGTATTTGTCCACCCTCCAGGGTCTCACGCGACCGTTTTTGATTGGACCGGAAAAAGCGGCTTTCTCAGCTATTCACATTTTCCCGTCTGTCCTTACGTCTTTCCTGTCCGTCTTCATGGTATGACAGCTCTTCTACTATGCTAAACGTGCTCACGTTTTCCTGTTTTACGCGATGTTATCGGATACGGATTGGCTGTACCGCAATGGAATGCATGTGTGTTTGCATTCAGTCTGCAACGATTTCATCCTGAATGTAAGCATGCCAAGTCCAACGGGTCTGTAGGTTTCGGTCGGTTGGTATTGCTAACACACACACACACACACACATACACACAGTCCACGCAACGACTGTCTATCATGGTCAGCACTTTCAGAACAATCTATCGTTTGTATCTCAGGTTATCCTACTTCTGGGTTCGGTCCGCCATGATTCTTGTACGGGCAAACTATGCTGCCAGTTTCGAAAACTTAGAATAAATAATCTTTTTTTATGTGCCTACTTGATTGAAAGGTCTGAATCCAAGGATCGAATAAATGTCGCGCGATATTCTTTCTGGTCGAACCCTTAGTGTTTGGCTACCAAGTCATCCTTTTACGCAAAATTTAGCGGAATATCCGACTTTCCTTCACCCGTGAACAAATCGTCTTTTTCAGAAAAGTTTTGTAAACAGTCGGTCGACTCATTGCCGGACAGTGCTTCGCTTTCGTGGTGAATAAGTCACCAGGCTGACTGAGTTTTAAGGCATACGAAGCAGCACTGAGTGAGACCTCTTTCAACCGGCAGAATTAATCAGGTGTTGAATGTTGATTGTTTGGATGGTTGTTGCCTGGATGACTGGAGGACGGATGTGTTAGAGGAATTGAGCTGGGCAGTTTCGGGCACTGTAATGGAATAGTTCTCTTGGATGTTGTTCACAAATTCTCATTGGTTTGTGTCGGGCTAACGAGAGCAAGTAGATACTAGTCGGAATAGATTTCGCCCAGACCACTTCAGTTACAACCGCACATCCACACGCGTCAACTCGGTTGATATAAGACCGATCACCGCATGCTTACCAGTCCTACACCCTATAATACTTAGCGATCTCTAAGCCCTGGACCACCAGAAGGCAGGGTAGGAATTTTGGTCGTTGTCGGAAGATTTCTACCCTTCCCACTTCATTTTTGGGCCTAGTATGGGGTACCGACACCCCGCCGCTTGTGCTCGTTGATTCTCGAGTACAGACTCTGCTGTGTGCTCCATCTAAATCTCTGTGCAATCGTCACAGTTCACTTTGCAGGCACAGTGGTGTGTCTTGGTGGACGGTGATGCAACTCTCTATGGGTCCCTTGGCTTCCTGCTCCGCCCACTATGGTATGTCAAAGGGCACTGCAGCTCTACACAGCCCTTCATGGAGACTAAGGAAAATTAATACAACTATATTTATAGGGTAGTCACAGAGTGCTCCACAAGGTCGTGCCAGAATCTCCGTGAGGGGGCGAGTAGCCTCGAGTCAATGGTGCTTGACTCGGATTGGCTGGCATTCTGACCAATCAGGGTATGCCTTCGTTTGGTCCCTGTTCTGCACGTGACACATCCGTCCAAATGATGTGATGTTCGGTTATTAGGGACGGCTGGCCTCCGAACACACACTTCCCAGTCCTATCAACCAGAAGGCGGCACTTCAATTAATCCAACATTGACTGTGAAGTTTTTCCTTTCTCGAATGCTACTCTAATGTTTGTTTTGGCCAAACATGGCTATTCGTTTCTCGCACAGAGACTAGCCTTATCTCCTATTGATATTAGGAGCTAGATTACTTGGTGGCTAGGGCGCGAATTTACTGACCGGAAGGTCCATGGTTTGAACCGGACCTCTGTCTCTTGACTTCTGTCTTGGTTTGGATAACGTGGCACTATCCCAGCCTTTCTGGTGGCATGGCAGCTAGGCACCGAAAGGGTGTCACGGCTGAACGGTTATCTTTTTTCTCTAATTTTAGTCTTGGCCAACATCCGGTAGTTTCAAACGTTCGCGTCTTATGCGAGGTGACTGTCCTTCCAAATCACTGTTAGTCCTCCAAATGCCCGTTCATTTGTGTGCTAATTTGGTTTTCACGTTAAACTCACCCGAATCCCCCGT